CGCTATCTTTTTATGCAGAGCCTTCATTCTGAAGCGTATAAAAATCACCCAATCCACAGTAAGATTCTCATCGAGCCCAATATTTTTCTTTACTCCCCTTTATAGGAAGCAATCTTCATGATGTGCAAAAAATGTTACGGATATAGGAAAGTTAGACGTATTGAATCGAATTGAATATTCGCTTAGAAAAATCCTTTTCCATCAGTATCATGATCTCATCTTATTTTATGGTTAAATTATAGTATTCTATGGTTTGAATTGGGGAAAGTACCAAACAACTGAAATTCAAAAAATCGTTATGCTATAGGTATAGATAAACACAACTTTGGTCGATTTAATTATATATGTATGTATAGAGGTAGGTGGGTTGGTGGGTATTACGTTTGTAAATCATTGATTGTGAAATCACCATACATGATCATCAGCGCATGTGAACATTCTTCCTTCATATCATGTTCTTGTAATGTTTTTGTGATTTATCATTACATGAGTTGTGCTGATCATCCATCAATGTGCTCATCATGGAATATAATTCTTTCTTTTTAGTTAACTATCTACCCACGTAACTACTCATACTGATGAGGAAGCTTCGAAGATTTGAAGCTTCAAAACATGTCGTATGCAGGTTGTACACATTTTTTCATATTTATTTTATATGGATTTCTTCATTTTTAAAACCTCCACCACTCTAGTGGATTCACCCTTGCTCAACCTAAGCCCATTAGAGTGAGCATATCCTGTTTCTTTGGTAGTATCCGATAGATCAAGAACATGCTCAGAGTTAAAAGATCGAGTGAAGTTGGTAAATCGAACTCTGGCGAAAATATGTATCGAACAGAAAGCATACCGATGTTCACCACGCGCAATTTGTCCACATTTCAAGTCGTGTAAATTTGTGATTTTCTAACTTCCTACACTGAGGAAAATTGTATCCCATCAAAGTTTCTGCTGATATATTTCTTGCTACCATTATAGGAAATCCTACACCCCACAAAAATAGCGACGACATACATTTGAGTCGTTTCCATAAATATCAATATAGAAAGTCACCAATTTATGCCGGAGGCCAATTATTCAATGCCCTTCCAAGAAAGATAAAAGACACCAAAGATGCAAAAAAATTTAAGAATAATCTGAAAAAATATCTTACCGAAAATTCGTTTTATTCCCTAGACGAATATATAGAAAAATGTGAAGAAGAAAGTTAGATCATTTTTTTTAAGCTGTGCTGTCCTTTTGAATTGTCAAATTTTCAACTTAAAATTCATTATGTTATTTATTCATATTTTTGAGCTGTCCTGTTCCACTCTTTTTGTATAATTGATTGTGGAAGTTAACTTATAACTACTATAGCTTTCTAAAACTGACTTATCCAATGTAAAAATGATTTTTGAAGGATGAATAAAAAGTAAGTAAGTAAGTAAGTATAAGTATTATCACTAAACGATTTCGAATTGAAAGCAACAGATTGAAATCCGATGGTACCTATGACAATCTTGGAAGGTAACTACAGCAAAGTTCTCTACCTATGGTTTTTACATTGCCCAACTTCAATAATGAGATGCAGTCATTAGCTGTAACAGAGGCAGGTCCCTACTACAGAAACATTGTCTGTTCCTTCTACACAATTTGACTCCTTTTATCTATGTTTTCATTATTGTAATGGGCGTGTACACCTTAGTAGAACTATTAACTCAAACCATGTTTATAATGATCCATTTATACATAAATAATGATTGACAACATAATTCGATCGAAAAATTAACTGGAATGTTTTATTTTTGGACATAAATAATAGAACCTTCTGAAAACGGACCCTGCCCTTATGACGTAGGAACCTCATCTCGCCATAGTTAAAAGAAAATACCAAGCCCGACGGAGACTGAGGCAACTGATATATTAATTCTTCAATTGTGATCTCGCGCTAATTCACTCTGTCAGAAATGATGTATCATTCATCTCTGTCTGGAATAGTCTTGTATCAGTATCAGGGTTTTGACGTCACATCATCGCCTCGTTTTCAGAGGTCCGAAAAATCGGGGATTTCAATAATTTTTTATAAAACGTAGGGAGCTCACAGCAAGAAATGGTTTGCGGTGGTGAGCTAGTTTGGGTGAGTTCTATCGAATTATGAAATAAATTTTTTTTGTGATATAAGCCCATTGTAATTGTCTTTCCTGCGAAACAAGTGCGATAGCACTTATCGCCAAACCAACTTTATTCGCATTTATATATACTTGTAAACTATTTTTATTTCATTTTTTCCGAATAAAGTTATATTATTATTATTATTATTATTATATATAGGTGCACTCTCTATAGCGACAGCAATGTTGGTCTATTTCTAATAATCTCAGGTGAGTGGTAGGTAATCAGCAAAATCGAATTTATAATCATAGGCATATGCGATAACTCGCTTGTCTTCAATGCTATGCTACCAAAATTTCTTGCTGAAGTCATTCGACTCTCAACTATAGTTATAGTGATGTTCCTCAGTGCAGACTTGACAGATCGAGTAGGTAAAGTTGACAAAATAGTAGTGCTTGGAAGTTTTCGTTTCCGAACACTGTTTGAACTTCAGCATCTTGATGATATGACGTTAGATCTGAATTTGTTTAAAAATCCTCATATTTTTTTTCGAATTACATCCTCCCGAAATCTATGCATCGACTCGTATACAATACTGATACAAGTGATTTTTTTCTAAATGCCTATTGATTCCGATTTAGCCAAGCCACGCTAGAGAATTGGGAATAGGCAGGTTCAAGCTGGATGTAATTCTAGTGTTATAACGTGCTTCAGTGTTTACGTTTCCAGAATATTTCTTATGTATCAGACATACAGTTTCGTGCATGAAGATACATGGTAATGTGAGAATGTTGTGAGCCTGAAACCGGTCTGAAGATATCTAGCGTGACCTGGCCAGATCGAAAGCAATAGGCATTCAGGAAAGATTCACTTGTATCAGTATTCGTTTATACGAGCCGATGCAAAGATTTCGGGAGGATATAATTCAATGTTCTGCAAGGCATTAGCCAGGAAAGTAATTGTTTTCCTCCCGAAATCTACCATTGTTGATCATTTCATGAACACTGTGTGAAAATGACTTTGAGCTTTTTGTATTTATATATCACCATATGCTTATGGATAGTCATGTATCTTCAAATAACGACTTCCTTTTGCACTATGAAAACAGATAGAGAGCCATTACTGGATAGATTCCGAAAGTACTGGACCGGTTTGGAGAATCATTTTACCATTATAAGCCGATATCATCCCTGATGGACATAGGCTACTTTTCACCGAGGAAAAATGCTTCATTCCTACGGGAAAACGGGTAATAAGATAACGGGTAATAATAATTATCCTTCCTTACTTATCATTTTCACAAAACTCCTGAACGGCTGGACCAATTGGGATGGAATAAAACCAAAAAAAAATACAAAATATGCGGAGAGCATGAAAATAGGTGTAGGGTTTATATAATAGTAGTTATTGCTAAGCACGAATAAAAAAAAACTATAACGCGCATAGCTCAAAACGACTGCAACAAATGTCTTTTTTTTCAATGGGTACACCTAACCGTACAAAGCCAATCTGAACAACTAGTCCATTGATACGTATACCGGGTGATCCATTTAAGACTTTCCACCCTCGATATCTCTCAGAATTATTATTTTACAAAAAAATGACGGAATAGGTTGATTTTTATATGGAGGGGACACCTTTTGGCGTTGGCACAAAATAAATAATCCATACTTGAACCCTCTACTCCCCAGAGCAACCCCCTCAATAATTCGAATAGGGAATGAGGGTTGTGTTGAACACCATTGCGAAGGTAATTCAAATCTGAAACTAGTAGTGGAGAGTTCTTTGAATTCAAACAAGTCGTTCTCGAGATATTCGAGTTCGAATAGTATGTTTTTAAATTGTGAGTAAATGAATGTAAATAATAGATCAATGAATAGGTTATCACAAAAGATGTTCAAAATAACCTCCATTGACTCCCTGACAGTGGTAGAATCTATTTGAAAATTCCTCTTGTACGTTTGAGAATGTTTCTCTTGATATTGCCTGGCATTCAGTTCACATTCTTCTCTTCGAATCATCGAGTTCAGTAGGTTCCGTTTAATAAATCACCGATTCTAAATGACCCCATAAGAAGAAATCATTGGGTGCCAAGTCCGGCAGACGTACTGTCATTCGATTGGTCCTCTACGGACTTCTATGATGCTGGAAATCAAAATCTATTGGCAGATGATATTTATTTCCAACAAGATAATGTGTCACCTCATTCCGTATCACAGATGAGAGAATGGCTACCCCAAAATTTCCCGAACGTATGGATAAGTCGCGAAGGACTATTCAAATGGCCAGTAAGCTCGCCGGACATGGCACCCAATGATTTTTTCTTTGGGGTCATCCGAAATCTGTTATTCATAAGATGGAATTTACTATGATCTGGACAATAAGTTGAGAAGAATTAGGGTTGAATGCCAGGAAATAATAACTAGAGAAAAATTTCAAATGTGCAAAAGGAATTTACAAATAGATTCTTTAACTGTCTGGAAGTCAATGAAGGTCATTTTGAACATTTGTTGTGAATACCCATTCAATAATTCATTCCGTACATTCAATTACTCGCAATTGAAAAACATACCATTTGAACTCGAATATCTCGAAACGATTTGTTGGTATTCAAAACACTTTTCACTGTTAGTTTCAAAATTGATTTACCTTTGCAATAATGTATAACACGAACCTTATTCCCAATTAAAATTATTGAGGGGGTTGGTCTGGGGAGAAGAGGGTTGAAGTATGGATTATTTATTTCGCGTCAAAAGGTGTCCCCCTCCATATAAAAATCGATCTCTTTGTAATTTTTTTGTAATATTAATTCTGGGAGATATCGAGGGTAGATAGTCTCAAACGGACCACCCGGTATGTAATCACGTGAGCGTAATTTATTCACATTTTGATTAGTCCCATCTCCCCCCTACCTGTTCGGCGTGATCCGGCACCCGGACGGGCAGCCCCCCCACCACCATGTAAGCGTCGCCGATCGTCTCCACCTTGTACACGTTGTAGGCGTTGATGGTGGCGTCGAAGCAGGTGTAGAGATCGTTGAGGAGGTCGACCACCTGGAAGGGCGTCGAGTGCGCCGAGATGGTGGTGAAGCCGACGATGTCCGAGAAGTAGATGGTCACCTCCTCGAACTCCTCCGGGTCCACGGGCATGCCCAGCTTCAGTTTCTCGGCCACGTAACTGCAAATGAGAACAATTGATGTATCAGTAGGGTTTTTGAATTTTAAAAACTTTTAAAATAAGTATATCGGACAGAGAGGCATGGAAGGAAGAACCTTCTATCAATGCAGATATTGCTGCCTATACGGACGGCTTCAAAACTGAGGAAGGATTAGGAGCTGGTATTCATGGAGCCAAGCCAAAGACAAGGATCTCACTGAGCTTAGATAAATACGCGACGGTGTTTCAGGCAGAAATTATTGCAATACATCATTGCGTGAAAAAATTGATGAGGCAAGAGTTTAATGGCAAAACCATTGCAATCTATTCAGATAGCCAGGCGGCAATCAAAGCAGTCAACTCAATGCAAGTTAATTCAAAACTAGTATATGGGACTGCATAGGAACCCTAAATGAACTGAGCAGTCAGAACAGACTGAATTTAGCAGGGGTACCAACACATACAGGGTATGAGGGCAATGAAGAGGCAGACTCACTTGCCCGAGCAGGAGCAAACAAAGCTCTGAATGGCCCAGGACCCTTTTGTGGTATTGCAAAAGCTATACGGAAGACTAGTATCAAATCATGGATGCAAACCAAATCTCAAGAATGGTGGAACAACTCGCGAGGAATGAGACAGAAAAAAAAAGAGTTTATTAAAAAAACACCGCCAACATTCACAGAATATCTGCTGAGTCAGAAACAAACTTCAACTAGAATGCTAGTGGGACTTCTCATAGGGCATTTTAGGCTCAACAAACACACGAGTACGATAGGTCTGACTGAAAAACTGCTGTGCAGGTTCTGTCAGGAAGAGGAGGAAACAGCAGTACACATACTTTGCCACTGCGAGGGCTTGTCAAGACTAAGATTCCTTACGCTGGGTGAGGAGAGACCAGGAGCCCAAAGATACACAGAGGATCTGAAAGCTAGCCTATGGAGTCTCATAGAGAAGGCGGGGATAGCCGAAGAACTCTAATCGATTTTGAGGGCAGACACAATAGATCTGAAAAGGTCGCGCTATGGAGGTAGATAGCCCGAAGGCCACATTCTAAATATAATCTAATCTAATCAGTAGGGTTATAATCATATCGAACATTTATGTGCTGTTCAGGCAGAATTTGATAGTTAATGATCTTCTCCAAAAGAATAACAGAACCAGGCACACAAACACAGAATCTTCAAGAAAAGCTTATAGTGGAATCCGAACCACTTCTAGGGCATCGAGGTGCTGCCAGGATAACGACCATAAATAACACATTTCAAAGAAAAATGCTCAGCTGATAGCCGGATTCGAACCGACAGTACATTCGCAACGTGAACGGCTATCTAGCGAATTTCATAATATGGTATAGAAGATGTTCAGACATGTGCATGACTCTGGATTCCAATTTCACCAGCAGGAACGCGGGTATACTTCCCAACTGATAAGATCATTAGACCATTTTGGCAAACGAATAATATCGGAGGTGTTCGAACGGAGGAAAGATGTATGAATTACTCTAAGAGAGCTGTCACCTTCACCAAACGAATTGAGTTCGATTCGAGCAAGTGATTTTGTCTTAGTAAAATAATTCAATAATGGCGAGAATTCGTTAAGATAGCTGTGTTCATTTACAATTAGCGTGCTCAGACAACAAGTGTCCTGGCTTACCGCAGAAACTTTGTTTCAGGAATAAAGGTTTGTCTTGTACGAGTACCTACTTAATTTTTTCACCGTTGGTTGGTGAATATTCTCTAATCACCATCGACTTTTTTACAAGAAAACGATTTCCTTGGCTGAGAACGATCAACGATATCCTAAATCTCAACATTTCTTCATGGTTAAAATTCGTGAAAAAATTGTATACCGCTACTCTGATGTTGAAAACCAATTCTCTAAAAGTCAAAATTTCTGCGTGATTAGACAAGACGGGATCTACAGCCTATAGTGAATTCCGAACCACTTCTAGGGCACTGAGTGTTAAGTCAATTTGAGTGCTGTAAACCAATCGGACACCGTGCCCGTAGTTGTGAAAATAATTCCCAAGGATTGATTGATCTTGAGAACTGGGCAAGAATGATAAAGTATCGGGTTGGAAGAGGATTAAAATAGCTAGAATGAGTTTGAGTTCACTTTTTATCGAACCAGAAACAGTGCTCGGGTTGAGAGATAGACACTCCATTATCAGTAGAACCTGCCAGGATTGGGTATTTCAAATCCTATCATCGTAACGTATCCTCTGGAATCTAGGAAGATGAATTCAACATGAAGCTTCATAGGAAAATACTGAAATCTCTAATCTGCCTCTACATTGAGCATTGCAGACTGAAGTGGCACATGCAGTGAATCGGACTGACAAAAATTGCTATATGAATTGTATATAGAATACGATGAAAAGGTTGATAACATTATCTGACCTCGATCTTCGGCAAAAATCATCCAGTTCTTTCTATTCAACAGAGTTCGGTGTTTGTTCAGAGTGCTTAGATAGATAGTAAAGTTAGGTATGATTAGGAGTAGAGGGTGCTGAGCTGAAAATGGAACCAACGATGTCCAACAGTAGATGATCACTTCTTCGAACTCCTTTGGATCCATCCAGTTTTAGTTTCTCGGCCACATAATAGCAAATAAGAACAATCGATGTATAGTAAAAGATGCTTAGATGCTTGGATGAGAATAAAAATCAACAATATATTCTCATCTCTCAACATTTCCCCATGGTTGTGGAAATAATACCCAAACTGATCAAGAATATAATAAAGTACCCAGATCGGAGAGGATCAGAATGGCTAGGAAGTGTTCAGGAACAGTGCTTGAGTTTTAGAGAGAAATACTCCATCATTGGCGGAACCAGCCAGGATTTATTAATTCAAACCCTACCATCGTAACTTATCCTCTGGAATTCATGAAGATGGAACCATCATGATGAACCTTTATAGAAAATACTACAAATCCTGATTGGCTTCTGATCTGAGAATTGCAGACTGGAATGTCACATGCAGCAAATCGGACTAGCAAAAACTGTTGTAGGCATTATATATGGAGGATGACCAAATGGCTGATAACATTCTATGAACTTGATCTTTGTCAATAATATTCCAGTTCCTACTATTCAACAGAGTTCAGTATTTGTCCAGAGGGTTTTGACGAAATATCAGTGGAAAAGTGAATTATTAATAGATTTGACTATTGTTCGATTCCACTGTCATGCCCAGTTCTAATTTCTACGTCTCGTAACTACAAATGGATCATTATAAATAATATACCATTCATTCATTCACGCCACCACCCTAAGAATGGATAGAGCTAGCGAACTGGGTAGTCTGATATGCGTTCAATTTGGATCTAAGAGGTACGCTGAGGTACGGAAAAGCTAGATAACAGTCGAGTTGATCCATAATCGTATCAGAATGGAATTGTATGGATGGCAAAAACACTGCTGAAATGCTACTTTGGTATGGTCCGAGAGAAATTAAACCATCACTGGAAATACTTGCCAGGTATGGCTCATTCAAACGCGATCTTTTGATTTCCAGAAAAATGAAACTGATCGACCTATTCATTTAGCACCCAATGGGGAAAAATTATGTACTCAAGCGCACTGACAATAAGTCCTCTTGATTGAAATAATGGGTGAACGGGGATGATATATCACAGATACGTTTCACCATGCTCAGGATTGGTATTAGAGGGATGATGAAAAGTTTGATCACATTCTGTCTCAAATTAAATAGTTTCAACTAACAGACTCGACATTGAAAACGATCAATGTTGTATTTTCTTTATTGATATGCAAAAATGGCTAATCATTTTCTTTTGAGGAACAAATGCAATGTTTGACCAGGTTATTTTCGTCTCTCTTGGAATTTACGCAGTAGTACAATCTAGGAATTCCTTTCGAATGTTTCAAAAAGGATGTCCCAGTTTAGGAGGTACAAGTGACCACCTAGGATGATTATACAAAACTGATATTATTCACTCATTCTTTCGTGAATTGAACCACAGTCTCCTCATCTCTGAATACTGTGAAATACTTTCGCGAACTATAAGCTCTAGTGCCCATATTGAGTGCAATCCGGATATAAGAAACTTTTATATCATATTCTTTCGGAACTTGGTGTATAAGAAAACTTGTTTATTAGTTTCCATAGCACATTCCCGACTTTTCCGAAGATACAACTTTTACTTTATTTGTTCGCCTCTCCTCTTTCATGGAATGTGTGAAGCGAGAGTTGAGACGTAATAATATAATGCCAGAAAGATTAAAAACAATTTCCTTTATTTTCAAATGGGCTTCAATGCTCCAAACAGGTTCAAGTTCTGCACATTCAACGTTTTATTGAGATCAACATACCACATAAACAGGTTAATGGAAGAAACAGAGAATGATGAAAGAGATATTTTTATCAATATCTGCATGGTGTTTACGAACTGCGACTTATGAGTTGTTGTGAGAAATTATGCGTAGATCTTTGATCAAACTGACTATGAATTGTACACGAAGGAAATACGTTCCTAGTTTATGAATACCCGATGCATACGATGTACCTACTGAGGTATTGGTAGTTTCCGTTACTCTTTGGAAAAACACCCAACAAATGATCTGTATGTTATGACAGAATAATTTCTATTGGATGAATTATATAAAATAGATTCTCTCGAACAATAATCTGAAATCCAATTTAATTTTTATAAGATACTCAGAAATTCCTGGTCATCACACGAGACAATCAAACTTATTTCATCTTGATTCTGCTACATCTATAATTGGCCAAAAAAATTTACTCACGCTGCCCTAGCTGAATTTGATAAATTACCACATAATATAAAAAATTGCAGACATATTTCAAAATTTAAAATTGAAT